CCTATTAACTTGGAAATCCCCATCATCTAGCAAGCCAAAGATTTTTTCTAGTACCTCAAGGGGGTATTTCTGGATTAGCAAATCACTCTGGCACTCAAAAAAAAACCTTCCCAAACTATGCCAGAAAATTTTATGTGCAAAGACACTATGAAATAAGTCAATTTCGTTCTTTATATGTTTGCCTCCAAAATTTCCCGCACTTTTCATGTCAGATTTCTCTGATGCACCTAGATGCCAAACCCAGTTAAACCGGGCACTTTTATCCAAAATTTTATGTTTCCAGTTCAAAACTACTATTTCCCACTTTTTCTGTTGGATTCGCAAAGGGCTTGAGGCATTGCAGCACTGGACTAAGAAACTGAAATAGTTACCAGCTAAAGAGAAGGGTGTTTCCTGGCCATTAAATCTATATTTATATATATTTCATTTTCTCAAATATACGTATAAGCTAAATAAAATAAAATATTTTTATGTTGAAGGAAGTCTTACTATCAGCAGCAACCACCTGCTAGCAAGACTACCGATGGCTCCCTCTTTCAAAAGTTGCTTAGAAGCAAGCTGATGGCAAGTCTGACTCCATTGCATATGTCAGTACCAATTTACCATCGAAACGAATGAACAAATTGTAGCAGAGACTGACCGTCCCAAATAAAAAATAAAAAGTATAAAAATACTGCGACGGAGTGTATTGGGCCAAAATGGATGCTTATATGTCATCGTAGTGCTTAGATTAATGAGCCTTGGGGATTAGGCCAAACTGCTACTTTCATTTTTTGTCACCTTCCATTGCTCGTTCATGACATATTGCATATTCACGCAGCTAGTGTGACACAAATCCATAATCCGCCTCCTCACTTCAATTTTCGAGGAAAAAAACTCGTTTTTTTGGTATCTCATGCACCTTTTCCAATACTAAGGCTTTCAAACTTTATCTTACAAACCACTAAAATAGACGAAAACGAAAAGGGCCTCGCACAGCTCTCCTTCATGCACTAGGATTGCACCAGGGTCCAGGGTGTCTGTGACTTAATTTGGATTAGCTTTTAAGAACCCCTCCCCCGCCCCTTAATCGGCTTAATTTTTCATTAATAAAATTAGTCCGGAATGGGTGCAGTATTAAGCACGCAGAGGTAGAAGGATATATCAGAACTTATAGCGGAGTATAAGGATATATCCGAACAGTCATGCTGAGAACCTAAGTAGTTGGTGGCAAGCTCAGAAACGAGACGAATGGAGAAGTTGCCAGCTAACACTGATGGTGAAAATGAACATGACGATAAAATCTGAGTTAGGGTTAAAAAAA